AAATGGGCAAAAGCACAAGGTCTTCATTATTATACAAATAAAATGAATGGCATAGATTACAAACATTGGGGCTACATCTTTGCAAAATGGCTTGTTTTCGACAAAGTCAAGGCAGCATTGGGTTTAAACAAGTGTAACATCTTCGTTACCGCAGCAGCACCCTTGAGTATCGATATTAAAAAATATTTCTTAAGTTTAGACGTACCTGTATCAGAGGTATATGGAATGTCTGAAAATAGTGGACCTCATACACTAACCGACTTTAAAGAATACAGGTAAATTATATCTGCTTTTATTCTTTATATTTTTACAAAGATATTTACCTATAAAATATATTAGTATACAATAAACGTTATTTTTATTTATTTATAGCCTGTATGGTGTAGGAAGGCCTATATCTGGAGTATATACAAAATTAGATAATATAGATGAACATGGTGAGGGAGAGGTTTGTATGAGTGGACGACATATATTTATGGGTTATTTAAATGCACCAGAAAAAACTGAAGAAGCCAAAGATAAAAACGGCTGGTTACATAGTGGTGACCTTGGCAAATTCGATTCAAAAGGGAATTTGTCTATTACTGGTAAACATATATTTTACGCCTATTAACATTTGTCATTATGTAATATTTTGATAAAAATTTTTCTGAGAATTGTTATACATATTAGACTATTTTTTAGAAATACTAAGAAAAATGTATCTTTTTTCAGAATTTTTTATACATATGAATTTTGAAATATTCTAAGATTTTTGAAATTTTTTTTTATCTGTCTTTGACAAGATTTTATAAAATTTTATCAGAAATTATAAAATAGGAATCTTAGAAATCTGAAAATATTTTAAAATTCTCACACGTAGAACGACTCTGAAATAAAGCCTTTCTCGACACTTCTTCAAAATGTTCCAGTTTGTACAAAAAATTAAAAATATTTAAATAAAGTTATAAAATTATTCAAAGATTCTGAAATATTTTTATACATCAATTTTCAAAAAAATTATATAAAAAATTTTGAGCAAAATTTTCATCAGAGTATTGTTAAAAATAATCATATTTATGTTATGTCAGCAAGTATGATATATAACACTTTGTATATTCGCAGGTAGAATAAAAGAACTTATAATCACAAGTGGAGGGGAAAATGTGGCACCGTATAATATAGAACAATCGATATTATCTGAATTACCATATTTAAGTAATGCTATGGTAGTTGGAGATAAAAGGAAATATTTAACAGTCCTTATCACGCTTAAGGTACAATGCGAGAAAATAAAAGAATATAAATTTAAAACTATAAATGTCCAAATAATATGGTTTTTTTTTTCAGAGTAATATGAATGAAGAAACTGGTGCACCGTTAGATACGCTGACGCCAGATGTATTAAAATGGGCACAATCTATTGGTAGTAGTGTCAAAACGGTTACAGAAGTCATAAGCTCTCGTGATGCAGCAGTAAGTCTTCTAAGGGACTCATAATATTATTTAACATTGTGTAATAAAAAAATATTTGAGCAAAATTTTTGAAGTCCGAATCGAGCAAATGAGCGCAAACAAATACGAATAAACAACTTTTGTAGTAATAATTTACTGACGATGCATTAGTTATTATAAATATTGATGATATATTAAGACATACTGAGACAATATTGAATTAATACTAGGTCAATATTGTGCTATTAGTTATTTTAATGCAAACAACATTGCCAATACGACAGCATTTGTATTTGTTCGTTTGATCTAGATGTTTAAATATTATAAAATGTTTCTTGCTCTTTTAGATATATGAAGAAATCAATGAGGCAATTAAGAGATCAAATATACAAGCCATAAGTAATGCTCAAAAAGTACAAAAATTCGAAATTCTTCCTCATGATTTTTCGATTCCAACTGGCGAATTGGGACCCACGTTAAAGCTTAAAAAAAATGTAGTTCAGAAAATGTATGCTGATTTGATAGATAAAATGTATGAATGAATTATCCACGCTAATAAACTCCGACTAACAATAATATTACATCGATGTTATAATTTCATACGCTGAGAAAAAAATGCTGTTGATTCAATTAAAGTCTATATTACGGGCTGTCACTAACATAAGTGATTAATTCATGTATATTTTTATTATTGACACAAAGGCATAAATTATTATTTCAATAATCAAGCCTTTATATCAATAAAATATACGCATGAATTAATCACTTATGTTAGCGACAGCCCGTAATATGGACTTTGATATAGAAATTGAATCAACAGCATTTTTTTCTCAGTGTACTTAACAAAAATGAATAATAATATAACACAATTAGTACGTAACAATTATATCGTTAAGTTTGAAATTATAACATTGATTTTATGTTACTGTTAATTAATATTTATTTGATACTGTTATGAGGTACGTGTATTACTAAAGAATCTTATATCGTTTTTATACCAGTACCTTAATATGCAAACCATCGAATATTTTAGCAAAATGTTTGAGCATTTTAATGCATGTTTGAATCAGATGATTAAAGGAAATAAGACAAATGTTAATAAGTTTTGTCTGTTTTTTGGCTAATATTTAATTGAAGTTCCGAGATGTATAAATTATGTATCGTGTTAAATGATTGGATACTTAGCGGAAGATGAGTAGTATATTATTTATCTTAAGAACATATTAGAAGAAATCATAATCAAGACAATAATGTTATTACACTTATCAATAAAAGATTATTAAGTAAGACATCAAGACATTCTAAGGATTAACACATCATTAAACAAGATACAGATAGATATTCATCAAACATAGGTATTCATTTTTATATATGTGTACACGTTATATTGATATTGAAACTTATATTGAAAGTCGTTTTCATTAATTGCCTTTTTTTATCAATTCTAAATAAAAAGAATTGTTGTGTAATATACTATATTTGATCAGCTTCGCAAGCCACTGTTACTATAATTTGAAACACGTAAATTTTCTATTCGATGTTAGTAGCTATCCGGGAAAAAATGTCAAGTGCTAAGACAAGCACAGTTAAATAAACACCAAAGATTGATAAGTTAGAAATAAATTTGATATATGACATATAACAGCAAATATATTATTTTATTAGTCTTTATTATGGATATTCGCGATTATTGCATGTTTCCTACTTGCAATGATATTTACAAATTAAAATTTGGATAAATTATTGTACCTCTTGTAAATCATTTTAAATTAAAAATTCATATCATTTTAATTTGATATATTTTATGCAGTTACACAAAAAGAAAAAATTAATTTGGTTGAACAAGAAAAACAATAATAATTGAGTTGTAAAAATTAATAGCGTGCAATTAAACAACATACTCTGTAAACAAACATTCACAAAAATTCAAAATTATTGAAAATATAATATTTACTATGAGCCTAATGCGATTTAATTTAATCGTAACAACAATTTTTATGATACAGTTATTAGAAGAATGGGCTAGTTTGATTTTATATTAAAGCTAAGACATATTTCGCATTAATAATACACCAGTTCCTGTATTCTGTAACTCGTTATGCAGTCGTTATATGTTTATAAGCTTTTCTACCATGTAAAATATTTATGCAACTGTCGTTATGAGCAAATAACGATTGCATAACGAGCAGGGAATGAAAGTACATACTTGTAACGAAGTTACAGTTACAAGTTATTTTTTTGATAATTTTACTGGTAATTGCATTACTTTTTTTCTTTGGTAACTGTAACGGTAACGAAGTTACACTTTTTTGATAACGGTAACGAATTTTATAGTTACTTTTATTGTTACTTTACACACGATTGGACACGATACGACACAAGCCACTCACACTGTAAAAAAATTTTACTATATCAGTAAAAACTTTGTACTGTCTACACACTACTATGAAAAAAATATTAGAAATCCAAAATATTTATTTTTCATATTAAAAAATAAACTTTTTGAAACCCTTGCATGTTTGCCGTATATTCCATAGGGGTGGGATATATGGCTACTCATAGGGGGGTTATGTACAGCTCATGAAAAATTTACAAATAATACATATAAATAAGACGTATAATAACACAATAACTTATAAAAAGTGTTTGTAAAGTTTTATTAAGGAATAAATATGTATATATGAAGTAATAAATAATAATTACAATCTTCCCACATGTATTACAAGTGTTATGACATGAGGTACATATTTCATGTAATGCATTTATTGCATTTAGTGCACTGAATTTAATCTGCGCACTCTTTGTATGCTTTGGGCATAAATCGCTCGCTAAAAATGCCGTATATCCCAAACAGAGGTGGGATATATAAGACAACAAACTAAACAAAGAATACAAAAGTAAAGCACTTATATTTTGCTACACAACATGCTTTACTATTCCACTACACGTATGTATCGCGAAATAATAACTAAGTCTTTTACACGCCCTACAGTAATCATTTTATGTAGATTATAATTTATGATGGCGTTACATATTACAGTGACAAATCGATTCAACTCACAATAATTTCATTAATATTGACAGTAAGAAGCTGAAATCATAATTCAATACTAATATAACGTAAAGGCATGTAACAGAGTAGTTGCAGGAAAATTACCCGTACTTTTTCTATTTTTTTTTACTTCTGTGGCGTAAATCCCAGCGCGGCGTATTTGCCGGAATTACCCTATATTTCCAATTTGCTTAGTTATAAATCAAAAAATTATTTTTATTTGCATATTGCAAATTTATAAACGCGTGGATGTTCATAACTATTATAATCTCAAAATTACCCACTATAATAGTTGTAATTTTACACAAAAATTATTTACAGTGTATAGCGCTTGAAACTATAGAAAGCCCCTAGGCCCGTCCGCTGTGATTAGCGGTCGTCGATTTTAAAAAAGTAACGGAAAACTAACGAAGAGTTACTTTCTCAAGTAACGGTAACTGTAACGAGTTACTTTTAAAAATCGGTAACTAATAACGGTAACTTGTTACTTTTTCTATTCGGTAATGAATAACTGTAACGTGTTACTTTTAAAAAATAACCCACATACCGCATAAAATTTGCAACAATATTGCTGCAATACCGTTGCATATGTTACAGCATTGTTGCTGCAACTTTTGTGTTGTAGGGGAACTTTCCATTCCTTGATAATGAGTTACAGAATACAGGGGAAGATGGTTTATATACAGCGCGATCGAAATAACAATGGATTGAGTTCTTAGACAGTATTGTAAGAGCTATCGCACGATACGAGTGATTCACAGTCTGAGTGATTCAGCTTATAATCCAGAATAGCACATAGGGAAATTATTTATTTAGAATTTTAAATCAAGTTTTAATTTTAAATTTAAGTCAAGAAATAAGAAAGGGTGAGTAAAATAAAAGTGAATATCTGTAGTTATATCGAGCGAATATATACAAGAGTGGCACAAATATAACTAAGACTTTTTTTTGTGTGAATACAAATCAATATTACAGATACACACACTGAATAAAAGAAAGGATTATACACTACCTAGACTTCCAAAATTCATTGTTAACTCTATAAATATCTAGAGTTTACGTTACATACACACACACACATACATACACATACGTGCGCGCGCGCACACAGAATGAGGAAAAAGTATAGAATTGGTAAAGTATCTCGAAAACAATGCATTGAAAAGAAAAATGTTTCATATAAAAGTAATAAGGTTTCAATAAATGCATCAAACTTATTTGATCATAAGTGTAAGTACGAAGGAGTTCCCAAGATCAACTTTAAAATTTTAAATAGATTCCCCACTTTTTATTCAATATTCTTGTAATTTACATCGGGATCTTTTCAAAACACTATAATGAAACTTCTTTTGATTATATATTTTTCGAGATATTAACCAAAAAGAATATAGGAGCAATATTTTTGTACTTTTCAGTTTCTAATGGTTATATAGATAAGTAATCGGTTGATAAGTATAGTAATTTGGGAGAATTCTCTTGAAATTTTCATCTTTTACGACAAATGAAAATTTTATAAATAATAAGTATTAGGGCAACCAATTTCAATTTCTAACAATTATTTTTCAATTAATGTATAACAATATGTAATCTGTTATCTTCTTCTTTTATTCAATATATAATCCACATTTTTTACAACTTATATATATCTCATATTACTTCTAATTTAAATTTAATTAACATTATTGCAATATATAAATTAAATATATTGGATTGGAGAAAAAGCCGCGAAATTTTGTTAGCTCAAAATTATATACAGAACATATTTATTGCGAAATTTTCAACTATCTGACGTAAAAGCTTAAAGTTTTTCTTAAAAGTTCATGTTTAAAAAAGTTACGTCTTTTTGTTACTAAGTTACACGCGAATTAAATAAAAGAACATTCTGACTTTTGTATATACACTAATTTTAAAAAAATAGAATATATATATATATATTTGAGCTAAAAAAATGTGATTTACTATCCATTTTTCCATTGCGCAATAATTATATATAAGGATAGTAATATCACATTTTTACATATTTTCACTCAAATTTTCACATATTTTACATTTAAAAAATTAGCATGATATTATTCAATAGAGCAATGTTTCTGCTTTAAGAATATGTTTTTTTAATTGCAATACGATGATTTTTAATGGAGTTATGAGCAATCAAAGTCAGAATGCTCCTTTTACTTAACTTGTAAATAACTCAAGAACAAAAAATCGTAAAAATATTTTTAAAAAACGATTTTGTAAGGAGAACTTCAAACTTTCACGATATAGATAATCGAAAATTTTTGCAAATTTTTTTTGACACGTGATAGACCTATAAAATGAGAAAAAAATTTTCCCTTTTTTTCAGCTCGTAATTTTCCATGTATAAAAATTATAAAACTCAAATAAATTTCAAAAATATAGTAACCATTCGAAATTAGAGATTTCAAGCTTTAAAACTCTTTTAAATTTAAATTTTGATCATTTTTGACGAAGATATTATATATAATTTTGACCTAACAAAATACTGCAGAACTTTTCCTTCAATCCAATAAAAATATGGAAAACAAATTAGGTCAAAACGTAGTCCAAATTTAAAACAAAATAAGATAAATAAAAGGCATAAAACTACGAACGCAAGATGTAAGCAGCGAATAATTATATATTTAAAAAGTTAAAATACATATAATATCCTCGCGTTGCGTTTTTAAGCAGCGAATAATTATATATTTAAAAAGTTAAAATACATATAATAGACGTTTCGGTCTTAAATTAGACCATCTTCAGTAATAAAACGAAATGAGAGTTATAAATTAATATTCACTTTCGCATACATTAAGTTACATCATTCTGTTCTTGACTTTTATTTTATACTCTTCAAGTTTTCCAATTCCTGTATCTGCTCCGCAAACTATTGTTAACACAGAATCAGGAAATTTTGTGCGCAATAATTTACATCGCGGATACTCACTCAATTAGACGTTTTGATGCACTATCCACTTAACTAACTACTTTTTGACTCGCTGCGAATCTGCGCTTTCAAACCTTGGAGATGTTTTTTAAGAATTCTTCACATCAAGAAAATTGTATTTTGCGTTGACTATCGTTTATTTCTTATCGACTTAATGTATGCGAAAAAAAATATGGAATATCATATTGAATATTAAAAACGGAATTTTTTGCATTAATTAGCCTCTTGATATCTCTGTCTGTGTGAAGTTATTTAATTTTAGTTAAGTTTAGATTGCAACCAGATAGATATCAGTTTGCTATAATTATTTTTGGTTTGAATTGCAACTAATGGATATCAATCTATTGTAATAATTTTTGTTTTGCTGAAAAATGCTAACAGATTAGCCGAAACTAATTAATTTTTCATTATTTGAGATAAAGCTTTTTCAAAGCAAAACTGCACACTGTCTACAGCGCCAATTCCCAATTGCCCGTTTATCATTTCTTTATTCAAAAATGTTTACATCTTTTGGCTTCTTTTCAGCCTCAAAACGTAATTGAATTAGAACAGAAGCAGACTGTGGAATAGTCAACAACCTTGCATATTAATACTTGACAGTAATGAGTTAATTAATGTATAGGGAAAAGAGCGATACACTTTTTTTTCTTTATAAAATGACTCAGCACCAAGTACTTACTGATATGAGAAGTTACTACTCCACATCTACTTTTGTTCTAATTCATCTACGTTAGAGAATGGTTTGAAAGAAATCTCGAAACATGTAAACGTTTTTAACATAATATATATAATTATCTTTTTTTTCATGTATTATACTGTAAAAATTTTACGCACGATGTACTGCGCACGATTCTTATTTGATCTTTTCCTTTCATTAGTTTAATTATTAAGGATGTTCTGGCTATATACAGTCCCAGACAAAAGTTACTCCATTTTGAAATTGATTAAATTCTATACTTTTATAAATTAAAATATGCGCCGTATCGTGTATAAGATCTAAAGTCAGTTAATGTGATATTTGGTATTATAGATGAATATATTTGTATTTTTGTAATCGTCGGTAAAAAACTTTTGGACGTGAATTTTCCTTGAAATCAACTGTAAAAAATGAAAGACGTGTATATTAATAACATTTAATGTATATCAGACATCACGTGATACTTAAAAATCAAAAAGATATGTAAACTAACCTTTGTACTATTGACACTGTTGCCACGTTTTGAGCAATCAAAGTATTATGTAGTCTATTCGGAATTTTGTGTTGCTTTATCGTTAATATCTTGATAAGAGATTAGTAAATCGATATGAATTTTTTTTTAGAACCATTGCTCAGTATTTTATTTATTCACAAACAAAGTTTCAGAATATTGGTAATGTTGCTTCTTTATAATTTTGTTGATAAATGGGAATATGCTGCTGTTCGATGGAAATAAATCGCTGAAAACGCTAAAAATCGCTAAAATCTGTATCAATTAACCCATTTCAGTATGAATTATACTAAAAGTCAACTAAGAGTCAACTGATGTAGATTTCAACGATTTTCATAGATTTTAGTGATTTATTAATTCTCACCAGAGATACTTCATAAGAACTCATGCAAATTAAATTGGATAACTCGTGAATTAGATAGAGAAGCGACTTCAGGTTTTATATACATATGTCTTCAGATAATAAATAGAACCAAATTATTAAATTTTCGAGTTATTGTCAATATTAGAACGTTAGCGCGAGTACATCCTTAAAAGTTCGTATATCAATCGTATTCTTTAGTTCATTTAATACTAAAAAAATTTTAAGAAAAATTCGTTACTCAATTGAGCAAAAAAAAATGTTCAAAGTATTTAAACATGTTTTTTTCTAAAAGCTGTATTTTGATACTTATGTCCATACTCCCTGGGAATTTGTTATAACAGTGACCAAGAACGATTATAACATAAAATAACTTTTTAAATGAATAAAAAATAGTTTACTATCAATCACCTTATCAATCTTAAAACTTATAACCAGTCTCTAAATTTATGACTATAATAATAAGTAGTCATTTGTCTAAACAAGGCAAACGGTTGGGCGAGCAGACGAGTATGCGTGCTATTTGAATTTACATTTAAAACTTTATGAGCATGTTTTCAAAGCATTACTGCACTTTTGAAATACGTAAAAAAAGTGACTATTTCAACTCAATAAAGAATATCTCTGAATGTATCATATGATGCTTATATAAGTGTTGTATGACATAGTATTCCACATATTGCATTTATAAAGCGATTATTGGAATAAGATTTTAAACATAGAGAGAAAAAATAATTAAAAAAATATTTATTTTTATCAAAAGATAAAGAAGATAATTATTTTATTTTCCTTTCCTTTCTGTTAGTTTTGATTTATTTCTTGCTTTATTTCTATGATAAAAAAAAATTTTCTTTTTGCCAAATTAATTTTATTTTTCATTTCTTTAGCTTCTATTTTTGTAAGTATATTAGTTGTTATTGCCGATTTTTAATTTTTTCCTTTTCCTTTATCTTCCATAATTGATTGACCGACGCGCGTTATATATAATTCAATAACATTAAATTCATACAAAAGATATACAAAATCATACATAAAATATAAGTAATAAAACAGTAAGCAATCAACGTTTTTTATTTACTATTTACGTTACGATTGATGATTACTTACTTTACAATTTCCACTGTAATTGACCGATTCGCTTACTGCTTATACCTTATTTTGTCTTATGTTTTTCTCTTATTGCCATGACTCTTATTTTTTTAAGTCGACCTTCTTACTTCACCTTTATACAAGAAAAATCTTTATTCAAAATTATGCAAGAAATTCTAAAAAGAACAAACTTTATAAATATTAATTTCTATATATATTTTCATATACATTTTTTAATTTTGCAGATTGTATGTGTTGATTATCATTCTAAAAACATATTTCTGAACTAAAGCTAGAATAATAATATATTACTACCAATAATAAACTTTTAATAATGTTAAAATTATTACTAAAAAATTATCTTTATTCTGTAGTCTTTATATATAGTATTATATTTTGTAGAAATAAGATAGAAAAAAACTTAAAAGCAGTAATACACAAAGTTCAGTATAAAATTAGATTAAAATTCAAGAAGAGAGAAGTTTTATTTAAAAGTTGACTTTTACATATTATTTATTTGTTGATACACTGTTCGCAGATTCATTGATTATATTTTCACCGTTTTATATTTAATATTTTATTTTTATTTTTAATGTGCAAATTCTTTCCACACTATTCTTAATTACATTGATTTATCACATATGATAATTACATATTTAATAATACATTATAATATTTTTCTTCTTAAATTACACATATATGTTGGACGATTTATATATGTATAAACAGAATCAAAGACGAAGAGAAAGTCTGTATATTGGAACTAATAGTCCAAAAAGAGGCCAATAAAATAACATATAACATTATATATATTGAAAAATTTTATTTATAAATTTTTATTTACAAGTTTTATTTTCCTTATCACGAACTTTTAAAAATGTTGCATATCACCAATCAGTTTTATATATTGCGTTTCAGTCAATTATTATTACTTATTGTCTTTATTTGAATTATTCATTATCGTATAATTTAGTTATTACAATTTCAGGTTACAAAGTATATGTCAAGCATAATTTAATGTATTGCGCTTTATATTGTAAATTTATTCTTATATATACAGGGTGATAAAGTAACGATAAAACTCTCGCATAGAGGTAGAGAGAGAGAGAGAGAGAGAGAGAGAGAGCAGACTAAACTTAGTTAAAAAATCCTCTATCATTTTTTGCAATTTTCGCAATAGTTAACAAGAATACCAATTACTAAAAATCACCGAATATTAGTTTTCAATAATTTTTTACTCAACTACTATCCTATATTAAAATTGCCATGTCAGGTTTTTTTGAAG